ATGAATATAAAAGTAAAATTCCAGTATATATATTGATTGGTATATTCACACATACCAATCAATCAATAGTAACTTATTGGGTTTTGTTTTACCAAAAGCATGTAGCAGAATACATTTTGGCCTTAATTTATAAAGAAATTTGATTATTTTTTTTTTAAATTTGGATATGTTTTATAGCAGAAAGTAAAAAATATTGTTTTTTTTTTTTAAGTTTTTTAGTCTTTTATATAATAAAAAATAAAAAACTCAGGGTTGATCAAATACCACCAGAAAAAAAAAACTCTGTGTGGGAAAAAGAAAACCCTGTGTGAAAATAAATCATCATTTATTTATTTCAGGAACTTCAGGACCCTCAAGGGGCGTACAATCTAAAGTCCCTAACTCACGTCCATACATATACACACTAGGGACAATTTAGACAGGAACCAATTCACTTACCAGCATGTGTTCGGAGTGTAAGAGGAAACTGGGGTACCCAGAGGAAACCACACACAGGCACAGGGAGAACATGCAAACTCCAGGCAGGAGGTGGCGTGGCTGGGATTTGAACCAATGACCCTAGTACTGCCAGGCAGAAGTGCTAACCATTTAGCCACTGTGTTGCCCCACTCTTTCCAATGACCATAAGTGTATGATATGAATGTACAATATATATGTAATAGAAGTACCTGTAATAAATAATCTGTAAGGGGGTAATTTATTTATTTGTATTTATTTATTTATTTCAGGTACTTATATAGCGCCATCAATTTAAGCAGCACTTTACATATATATTGTACATTCACATCAGTCCCTAACCCTCAAGGGGTGTACAATCTAAGGTCCCTAACTCACATTCATACATACACATATTAGGGACAATTTAGACAGGAGCCAATTAACCTACCAGCATGTCTTTGGAGTGTGGGAGGAAACTGGAGTACCCGGAAGAAACCCACGCAGGCAAAGGGAGAACATGCAAACTCCAGGCAGGCGGTGCCGTGGTTGGGATTTGAACCAATGACCCGAGTACTGCCAGGTGGAAGGGCTATTTAGCCACTGTGCTAACCCATTCTTCCCAATGATATGAATGTACAATATATATGTAATATAAGTACCTGTAATGAATAATCTGTAAGGAGGTAATTTATTTTTATTTCAGGTACTTATATAGCGCCATCAATTTACGCAGCTCTTTACATATATATTGTACATTCACATCAGTCCCTAACCCTCAAGGGGCGTACAATCTAAGGTCCCTAACTCACATTCATACATACACATACTAGGGCAAATTTAGACAGGAGCCAATTCACCTACCAGCATGTCTTTAGAGTGTGGGAGGAAACCACAGTACCCGGAGGAAACCCAAGCAGTCACAGAGAGAACATGCATACTCCAGGCAGACAGTTCCATGGCTGGGATTTGAACCAACGACCCTAGTACTGACAGGCGGAAAGGTTAACCATTTAGCCACTGTGCTGCCCATAATAATACATTTAATAATAAATATAATAAATGTAATTTGGGTACAGAGTTGCATGAACGTGCAATTACCAGTTAAAGCAGCGCAGTGCTGAATGCAAAAAAATGGCCTGGTTATGAAGGGGGTAAAGCCTTCCAGGGGTGAAGTGCTTCCAGGATCAGGGCCCTCCTAACCCCTTGTATTGAACTGTATTGTTGCTGTATTGTCTGCCGTTATACTGTAGAGCGCTGAGCAAACTGTTGGCGCTATATAAATCCTATAATAATAATAATATAATCCTGTATAATAATAATAATAATATAAATCCTGTATAATAATAATAATAATATAAATCCTGTATAATAATAATAATAATATAAATCCTGTATAATAATAATAATAATAATATAAATCCTGTATAATAATAATAATATATAAATCCTGTATAATAATAATAACAACGTGTTTTAATACTGCTTTAAATAAATAAATGAATAAACAAATGGCAAAAAAAAAAATTTGGCCTGGTTTGCATTAAGCGTTTTATTACACAAGATCATGCGAGATCCTCAGTGACTCGTTTCTTAACGAAACAGGAAATACTTGTTTATAGTGAAGTGGGGTGTGGAGACGCGGCACCAGCAGATCCCATATGAGCGAATGCCGGAAGAATGCAAGCAAGCCTTGTGTCATACATTGCATCAATGACAGAGTGCTGGAGGATAAAAAGAAAAAAAAGAAAAAAAAAAAACACCTGGGAAACTGCTACTTTGTATCATTTCTATAATTATTTATCACTGGCAGACAGAGGTGTAACTTCAAATAATGGGGCCCCGTAGCAAAATAAATTTTTATGGGCCACCTCCCTGTGCGACACCTGAAATGACTAAATGAAGGAACCCAGATAACAACATACGAATTTACAAAAAAAAAAAAAAAATATAAATCTTTTATTGATATATTTTTTGAACCACTTGTCTTCCAAGGTATGTTCATAAGCGGCATGGCAGGCGAGTGGATCAATCACTCTCGCGGCGAATGATGCAGCAGTGAGCTTGGCATCGGCTTTAGGGGCCGGGTCACTCCTGAGCTTGATGTAAACGGACCGCATTCCTGAATGGGCTGAAATCACACTGGATCACCCAAAAAGTAGTGCATGCGCTGACTTTCAAAAGCGCACCACTGCAATACCATGTGATCTGGTGCAGGCTGACATACTGAGCTTGCAATCTGTGCTTGGGGTGTCGTTTAGGAATATATTGACACAGCAGATCGCACACCAAGTGCATTTTGTGTTGCAGGAAACGCACATGTAAAGGGGGTTTCTCTCACCGTGTTCTGGTGTGAACGAGCCCTGGGAGCTGGGAAGTGCTGATATAAGTGATCCAGTGCCTTTCTGGGGATACAAGTGATCCAGGTGGCTTCAGAGCCACCTGAGCCAAACTTTTATGGGCTCTCAATGTGATCCAGGTGGTTTCACCTGATCACTTTTATGGGGCTCTCCCCCCCCCCACACACACACACGATATAAGTGATCCAGGTGGCTTCAGAGCCACCTGATCACTTTTATGGGACTCTGACTCTCAATGTGCACGCCCCCACACACACACACCGATACAAGTGATCCACCGATACAAGTGATCCAGGTGGCCACCTTCAGAGCCACCTGATTACTGATTTTTATGGGACTCTCAATGTGCACGCCCCCCACACCAATATAAGTGATCCAGATGGTTTCAGAGATAGCTGATCACTTTTATGGGGCTCTCAATGTGCACCCCCCCCCACACACACACACCAATATAAGTGATCCAGGTGGCTTTAGAGCCACCTGATCACTTTTATGGGACACACACACACTCACACACAGGTTTCTGGGCTCTCCTCTCGAGATTCCCTGCTGACAGCAGAATGTAAACAAACAAGTGTTGGCAAGTTTAACTAATTCCCCTCCGCCCTATAGCAGAAATAATGCTACAGGGTGGCACAGGTGCGCAAAATCATGTATATATACCCAACTATCCCGCGGCCTCAGCTGTCAATCACCGGGTCACAGCCAGTGATCACCGAGTATCTCCGACGGGGGAGAGGCCTGTATGTAAACAATAAAGATCTCTCCCCTGTCAGCTCCTGCACACTGCTTTGTATGGCTCTGCTATGCAGAGCCATACAAAGCAGTGTGCTTACGGTGGAAATCACAGACACAGCACACAGTTAACCCTTTGATCACCCCAGATGTTAACCCCTTCCTGCCCAGTGCCATTAGTACAGTGTCAGTGCTCTTTATTAGCACTGATCACTTTATTGGTGTAATTGGGATGTCAGTGACAGTCAGTCCCCCCCCAGTGTCAGAATGCCCGCCGCAGTCCCGCTATAAGTCGCTGATCACTACCATTACTAGTATAAGAAAAAAAAAAATCCCAGTATCTATACCGCCATTTGTAAAAGCTATAACTTTCACGTAAGCCAATTAACTTGCACGTATTGGGATTTTTTTTTTTTTATCAAAGACATGGAGCAGAATACATTTTGGCCTCAATTTGTGCCGAAATTTGATTTGTAAAATGCTTTGACTGGACATGTTTAATAGCAAAAAGTCAAAAATATTGTTTTTTTTTCATAAAATTGTCAGTCTATTTTTTTGGATATAAAAAAAAAACAAACAAAAAAAACCACAGGTGATCAAGTACCACTGAAAGAATTTCCATTCATGGGAAAAGTGCAGGGCTGCATGACCTGCGCAATTGTCAGTTAAAATTGCATAGCGCTGTAACGCAAAAAATGGGCTGGTCAGGAAGGGGGGGAAATCGTCAGGAAGGGGGGGGGGGGGGGAATTGTCAGGAGGGCAAGTGGCTGAGACCCTCAATGTTGCTGGAGCTAAACCCCGATAATTAATACATCCCAGCCAACGTTATCTACCAGCGCACCGAGACCCGCAAGACGTCTCCATCTGAAATCTGCAACATTTCAGATCCGACTCCCGAGATCACCAGCAGGAGGGTGAGGTGGGTGTGAAGAAAAGCCGGAATCTTAAAAGAAGATGAAATGAAAAGCGACATGAAGAAGTTGGAGCCGGGCTTCAAGAACACTCAGTAGACGAGGCACTTGGCGGGCGCTTTCAACGGGCGTAAACAGGCTCATTTGGTTACAACCCAAACGTATTCTGAGCCGTGTTTGATGTTCAAAGACACCAATTATGAATAAAAAGTTTCTAATCTCGGTAGGGTGTGATATGAATCCGAAAATGTGGAGAGGTGTCCGTTGTGTCAGATGCGGTACGCATGGAAATAAGATCTCTGATAAGCCTGGCCTAAACCTAAACTCCGGGCATACAAACTTTTATTAAAAGAAATTCCTCAATAACTGCATAGGATATATATCCACTTTGTGTGCCCTAAGTGTTTTTGCAAACCCAGATATTACCTTGTAAATATATAATAGATAAAAATAGCTATGTAATAGATAAATGTAACCATTCTAGAGAATCCTAGAGTGTATTAGAATAGATGTAACCAATGATTACCAATAGTTACATTCAGGAGCTAACTGACAACTCATGGGGCCCCCGGGCAATAGGGGATCATGGGGCCCCTGTGTCCTTGCCCAAACTCAAAAAAGCCTACAAAAAAGGTACCAGAGGCATCTCATGGGGCCCCCTACTGACCCCGGGCCCTTGGGCAGTGCCCGAGTTTCCAAATGGTCAGTCCGCCCCTGGTTACATTTATTTCCCAATTCCCTCTAGCATTCTCTAGAATTGTTACATTGTGTCTCTTGTTACAAAGATGTCTGTACCATGTTATGGCCACTAGATGGTGCTGAGGAGCATCACTGTGCTGTACATAGCCTGTAAAGAGAGAGCAGAGCTGTGGGAGGGGCCTAGCAGGCCACACCTACTACAGGCTGCCTGTAGATAACTACAGGAGGAGGCGGAGACCAGACCAGTCACCCCACACAGGGAGAGATAGCAGCAGTGAGCGATCTTTAATACAGGAACATAAATGTAATCAATGGGTGCCAATAGTCACATTTATTTCCCAATTCCCTCTAGCATTCTCTAGAATTGTTACATTGTGTCTCCTTACAAAGATGTCTGTACCATGATATGGCCACTAGATGGTGCTGAGGAGCATCACTGAATAGAAAAGAAGAGCTGTGGGAGGGGCTAGCAGGCCACACCTACTACAGGCTGCCTGTAGATAACTACAGGAGGAGGCGGAGACCAGACCAGTCACTCCACACAGGGAGAGATAGCAGCAGTGAGCGATCTTTAATACAGGAATATAAATTTAACCAATGGATGCCAATAGTCACATTTAATTCCCAATTCCCTCTAATATATAATAGATAAATGTAACAATTCTAGAGAATCCTAGAGTGTATTAGAATTAATGTAACCAATGGTTACCAATAGTCTCATTTATTTCTTAATTCCCTCTAGCATTCTCTAGAATTGTTACATTGTATCTCTTGTTACAAAGATGTATGTACCATGTTATGGCCACTAGATGGTGCTGAGGAGCATCACTGTACAGAAAGCAGAGCTGTGGGAGGAGCCTGGCAGGCCACACCTACTACAGGCTGCCTGTAGATAACTACAGGAGGAGGCGGAGACCCGACCAGTCACCCCGCACAGGGAGAAATAGCAGCAGTGAACGAACTTTAATATAAATGTAACCAATGGTTACCAATAGTCACATTTATTTCCCAATTCCCTCTAGCATTCTCTAGAACTGTTACATTGTGTCTCTTGTTACAAAGATGTATGTATCATGTTATAGCCACTAGATGGCGCTGAGGAGCATAGGAAATACATATGTCTTGGTAACCAAAGATACAACCTAGCAATTCTAGAGAATGCCTGAGTAAATTAGAAAATAAATGTAACCAATGGATGCCAATACTTACATTTATTTCCCAATTCCCTCTAGCATTCTCTAGAATTGTTACATTGTATCTCTTCTTGCAAAGCTGTATGTAGCGCATTATGGACAATAGATGGCATTGAGGAGCATAGGAAATACATGTCTTGGTAACCAAAGATACAACCTAACAATTCTTGAGAATGCCTGAGTAAATTAGAATATAAATGTAACCAATGGATGCCAATAGTATCATTTATTTCCCAATTCCATATAATATATACTAGATAAATGTAACAATTATAGAGAATCCTAGAGTGTATTATAATAGATGTAACCAGTGGTTACCAATAGTCACATTTATTTCCCAATTCCCTCTAGCGTTCTCTAGAACTGTTACATTGTGTCTCTTGTTACAAAGATGTATGTACAATGTTATAGCCACTAGATGGCGTTGAGGAGAGTAGGAAATACATATGTCTTCGTAACCAAAGATACAACTTAACAATTCTAGAGAATGCCTGAGTAAATTAGAATATAAATATAACCAATGGATGCCAATACTTACATTTCCCAATTCCCTCTAGAATTCTCTAGAATTGTTACATTGTATCTCTTCTTACAAAGATGTATGTAGCACATTATGGCCAATAGATGGCGTTGAGGAGCATAGGAAATACACGTCTTGGTAACCAAAGATACAACATAACAATTCTAGAGAATGCCTGAGTAAATTAGAAAATAAATGTAACCAATGGATGCCAATACTTATTTCCCAATTTTCTCTAATATATAATAGATAAATGTAACAATTCTAGAGAATCCTAGAGTGTATTAGAATACATGTAACCAATGGTTACCAATAGTCGCATTTATTTCCTAATTCCCTCTAGCATTCTCTAGAATTGTTACATTGTGTCACTTGTTACAAAGATGACTGTACCATGTTATGGCCACTAGATGGTACTGAGGAGCATAGGAAATAAATATGTCTTGGTAACCAAAGATACATCCTAGCAATTCTAGAGAAAACCTGAGTAAACTAGAATATAAAATGTAACCAATGGTTGCCAGCAGTTACATTTATTTCCTAATTCCCTTTAGCATTCTCTAGAATTGATAAACTGTGTCTCTTATTGCAAAGATGTATGTACCACATTATGGCCACTAGATGGCACCAAAGAGCATAAAAAAACACATAGGTGTTTGTAACCAGAGATACAATGTAACAATTCTAGAGAATCATAGACTGAATTAAAATATAAATGTAACCTATGGTTACCAATAGTCCCATTTATTACCTAATTCCCTCTAGTGTTCTCTAGGAATTGTTACATTGTTTCTCATTACAAAGATGTATGTATTGCATTATGGCCACTAGATGGTGCTGAGAAGCATAGGAAACACTATGTTCCTCAGCACCACCTAGCGACCATAATGCAGAATTTTACTACTGCCCATAATAAAAGTACAGAAGAGATTGTCTAAAAAACATGCTTTTGCTTTTTTTTTCTCTAGAATTGTTACATTTGGGTTGATTTACTAAAACTGGAGTGTGCGACATTTTGTGCAGCTGTGCATGGTAGCCAAACAGCGTCTTACAAAAAAACCTGGAAGCTGACAACTCATGGGGCCCCCGGGCAATAGGGGATCATGGGGCCCCTGTGTCCTTGCCCAAACTCAAAAAAGCCTATGAAAAAGGTACCAGGGGCATCTCATGGGGCCCCCTACTGACCCCGGGCCCTCGGGCAGTGCCCAAGTTTCCAAATGGTCAGTCTGCCCCTGCTCTAAGGACCGCACGGTCCGTTTTGTTTTTTGCTTCACCCTACATGTGTTTTTTACGGACGACTGTCCTACAATTTTGGACTTTTTAGTTCTTTTCTCTCTCATTTATTGTTAAAACGGAGGACCCCGGTGCTGCAAGGCAGAAATGCGAACCACTAAGCCCCCTGTGCTGGCCAAATTATAACAACTCTTCTTTTATCCAGTTCCCTGGGTGACCCCCAAACCCCCCCCCCCCCTTCCCGTCCTTGTTGCGAAGCTGTAAAACCTCTCTGGAATTTTAAGTGAAATAAGTGTCTCTGGAAGCTCTCTGGGTGTCCCCGGTGTCAATAAAAGTCCCGGCTTTATAAGATGTGTGTGAATCCTGCTGGCTGGGCAGGTCAGGAATCTCCAAAATGAAAAAAAAAAAAAAAAAATTGTATAAAGCCTCAAATAGTAATGGGATGATAATACAGTCGCAGGAAAGTTTAGGAGAATGCGATTTATGATGCTGTAGTGACCGAGAATCCGTATGGATGTTCGCAGTGACCACACAGCCAAGGTGAGGATTTAGCGGCCAACTTGTGTTGGGATTTACAAAATTCAACACTGATCTGAGTGCGAATGGCTTACTAAAAAAAGCAACCAAACAAGGGAAATTAAACAAGCTACAAATTATCGTCAGCAAGCACTGCAACTGCGCTAAAATCATGGAGTGCACTCAGTTCTTGTACGAGTTCTGCAGCCTTCGCTAACCAACTATATGTACAAGAGAAAAAAAAAAACAACAATAACCCGCGCAAAAAAATTATGAACTCAAATAATTAATGCTGCTGCTCATGTGTTTATTTGGGACAGTGGACTTTTTATCACTTTATTATTATTAATTGTTTAATTTCTGATTTTTGCGCTGTTATTAATTATATTTATATATGTACAAGGGCCCAATATGTTTAAATAAGACCCTCAGAGAGGTATAAATGATGGAACACTGTGATTTGCAATAAATTGACCTATTTTGGTTGTCATTTAAATTTTTGCTGAAGTGAGAACTGTTGTTGTCATTCTGTTTGAGTGGAATTTAAAAAAAGAAAAAAACAATGACTCCTTTTATTACGTGATAAAAATTACTCTTCTTTTTTTTTTTAGCATAGAAGGGAGGTCCATTTAGGGTAGTTTGTTCCATTTTAGTGCTGAAAAAAAAAAAAATGCCCTAAAATGAAAAAAAAAAAAAAAAGTATTTTTTTTAACACTAAAATAAAATAAATTAAATACTCTAAAGGGACCAGTTCTCAAAAAAAAAAAAAAAAAATGCCCTAAAAGAAAAAAAAAAAAAAGTTATTTTGGAGGACTGGTCCCTTTAGGGTATTTATTTAATTTAATTTTATTGTTTAAAAAAATTACTTTTTTTAAATTTTATTTTGGGCATTTTTTGGAAAGACAGTTCAATTGGGGATGTTTAATTTTATTTTATTTTAGTGTTCAAAAAAACAACTTTTTTTTTCCTTTTATTTAGGGTATTTTTTTTTTTTTAGAAGGGACAGTCAACCTGGAAGAGTTTATTCTATTTTAGCCCGGGTTCACATATGTGCTGTGCGGTATATTGTATGTGACTTGCACAGGGACCGCGCCACATTCCTGTGCAAATCACATGCGATTTGTGTGCGTGCGATTGATCCGTATATATTTTTATGCTCTAATCGCACCGCACCTGCACCAAAAACGTGCAGGAACCTTTTTTGGTTCCGCACTAGAATCGGATCGCATGAGTATTCACACCTATGCGATCCGATTCTGCACATCACACCACATTTTGTGGATCGCTTTCGGGGTGTTGTTAACTTAACATGCACACCCGCAGTGGTTCGCATGAACTGGGCACGATTCTGATGCGGTGCAGAATTCGCACTGAAAACGCTGCGAATTCCACACAGCATCAGTGTGAACCAGGGCTTAGTGATCAAAAAAATAAATAAATAAATTACCCATTTTTTCCTTTTATTTATGGTATTTATTTGAAGAGGCGGTCCATTTAGGGTAGTTGATTTTATTTTAGTGTTAATAACTTGCTCTTTTTTCCCTTTATTTTGGGTATTTTTTGAAGGGGCGGTCTATTTAGGGTAAGTTAATGTTATTTAAGTGTTCAAAAAAAAAAAAAAAACCTCTTTTTTTATTTATTCAGGATATTTTTTGGAGGGGCGGTCCATTTATGGTAGTTAATTATATTTTATTTTAGTGTTTAAAAAAAAATTTTTTTCAATTTTATTTCGGTTTTCTTTTTTTTAGGAGGGAAGGCCCATTTTGGGGCAGTTAATTTTATTTTATTTTATGTTAGTGTTAAGACAATAATAATTCTTATTTTAGTATTGGGGGGGGGGGGGGTTCGAGGGAGGGCCCAATTTGGGGTAGTACATTTTTATTTTATTTTATTTTAGATTAGTGTTAAAACAATAAATAATAATTCTTATCTTAGTGGGGGGGGGGGGGGGGTTTTTGAGGGAAAGCCCATTTGGGGTAGTTCATTTTATGTTAGTGTTAAACAATAATAATTCTTATTTTAGTATTTTTTTTGAGGGAAGGCCCATTTTATTTGTACATTTTATTTTTATTTTAGGTTAGTGTTAAAACAATAAATTAATAATTTATTATTTTAGTGGGGGGGGGGGGGGGTGGAGGGAAGGCCCATTTGGGGTAGTACATTACATTTTATTTTATGTTAGTGTTAAAACAATAATAATGATTATTATAAGGGGGGGGGGAGGTGGAGGGAAGGCCCATTTTGGGGTAGTATTCATTTTATTTTATGTTAGTGTTTTAAAACAATAAATAAATCCTATTTTAGTGGGGGGGGGGGGGGTTGGTGGGAAGGCCCATTTGGGGTATTTCATTTTATTGTAATGTTCATGTTAAAACAATAATAATTCTTATTTTAGTCGGGGGGGGGGGGGGGGGGGGGGGGGGGGGGGGTTCGAGGGAAGGCCCATATTTGGGGGGGGTAGTACATTTTATTTTTATGTTAGTGTTCAATAAAAAAAAAAAAAAATTTTCTTCTAGCATTTTTTTTTTATTTGACCATTATTTGCAGTGTTTTGTTGTAATGGGGTTTCTTTCTCTGTCTGTCTGTTTTTTCCATAAAAAAAAAAAAAAAATAAAGCAAGAAGAAAAAAAAAATATTGAGACTATTAAGGGTCCAGTTTCTGGTACAAGAACTGGTCCAGGATCATTGAAAAAGATCTTCCATAAACGTCATGACAGCTGTAAACTGACCTCGTCAAAGGGGTCAGCAAAATAAAGGCGACACCAACTTGTGAAGAAATAATATATATTCCGGTCCAACAGCCATTTCCGAAAACTTTCTATCAGATCTCCTGGCTACAATCCGATTGAACTCTCAGGCTGGATGAACAAAGGGGGTTTCCTTGTTGGTCACGGTTCTTCCCGATGACCCCCCCCAGTCACTGCAGGACACAATAGTGGCCTATGGGTTGCTGGAGAAACCACCCCAGCCAGTAGAAGACACGTTCTTCTATGTACCCCGAAGTGTTGAGTCGGAACCCCCTCTACAGAGAGAAGAAGATGTAGGAAATGGGCCAATGGGTAGGTATGTAGAATGGCCAGTGCCAAACTTTCTTGACGTAGGTCAAATGCAGGTCAGAAGGAGGTCAACTGCATGCAAATGCCCACGTAAATTAATTCTGAAGGTTCTCAGGAACATCTCACACTGATGTCATCTGATGCCATCAAACACAAGCCCAATGCCCATGGACACTGGCCCCAATACCGCTTGCTTCACAGGTTGTTGCCTTTTTTTTTTTTTTGATTTTGCTGCCCCCCGACAGAGTCACTTTACAGAAACACCAAAACCACAATATTTCACTATCCCCATTGATGTCAGTTTCTCAAAATGGTGAAATTTTTACAAAATTTTCAGATTTTCGCTGAATTTTGAGGGTAATGAATGCTCTCAAATAAGTCAATCTCTAAAAATAAAAAAAAAAAAAAAAAAAAAAAGAAGAAGTATAATAATTTTTGGGGTGCCACCACTTAAATCACCATTTTCGGAGTTGCTATTTAGCTCCTGGAGACACAAATATCCCCGGTCATAAACATATGCCAACCATTGGGGCTCGTTTACACAATTGCTTCAAAATGGGGCACTGGACACACTTTTTTAAAGCACTCTGAAGGCCGATCAAAAGCCCCCCCCCCCCCGTCACCAAAAAATAAAATGGTTCCCTTACAGTCCTGTTCACACGGTTGTGTTTGCTTTGCTTTAAAAATTAAATTATACCTCATGATGCTTTCTTGGTGCTTCAAAGCATCTCCAAAATCTACATAGAAGTCTATCAAAACGCTCACTAACAGCACCTGCAGCATTTGAGGGGCATTTTTTTTTTGGAGTTAGCTTCGCTTTGTTTTGAAGGTATTGCAGGTATGAGAGATCCCAGGATGCACTGAGAAACCAACAATCAAACGGGAAAGACGCCATCAGCAGTCACTTCTGGTTTATGTGGTTTATATATTCTGGGAGTGCCTGGTGCAGACGTCACATCTGGTGTGCAGCAGCAGTAAGGTGAGCGGGGTCCGGACCTGAGCAGAGCAGAAATACACTGTGGGAATGCTATAGTGGAAGGTGAGTGGGGACCAGAGATAGGACTGAGTGGAAGAGGATTGGCAAAGCTGGGGGGACCAGAGTGGGAGAAACAAGCAGAAGTCACAAGTGATGAGCAGCATGGGAGTGATATAGAGGGAGGTGGGGGGGGGGGGGGGACTGGAGAGAGTTGGATCACCAATTCAGAAAACCAGGAGGATCAGCAGATCTGGGGCTACTACTGA